TATTTTAAGGGCGTCAATTTTGTGAGTGGAACTCACAAAACTGAACAACTTTTACTAGAAACGTTTCAACAGAATATGAAAAATAATTTGGTCCTCCTGTTCTAAGTGACGAAAGTGATTTCAAGATTTTCAAGTTAGTTCAATGTTAAACTGATATGGAGAAACTTATCTTAGTAATAATAGGCGGGCGCCGATTTACATTATATTTTGGAACCAAGTCTTGGCTTATACACAGTTAAGGGGATAAATCAAATCGCTACTTGAATTACACAATATTTTATTTTAAATAAGTAATCATAATTAATATGCTTAATCTTATTCATATTTAAAAATAGGCATCATATACTTATTAACTACAAATTTTACTATCAACAAGTTCCATAATGTTTTTAATATCTTAGACAAAGTAAAATGTAAACTGACGTACCTACATTGGTACGGTACTAATTATAACAAAGGAATTTATCACAAAGATAAACAGAGACTCCGATGAAAATTATCCAAAATTAGTGACAATATGTAAAAAAAGTGCAGTGTGGAGGCATCTTACAGTACATACCAATGCCTTTAGAATAACATGAAAGTTCTCACGTACATAGTAAATAAAATTTATTTTAAGTACGTCGACATTTTTGGAATAATTTGTAAATAGGTGCATAATGATGAAATATTTATTACAAAAACATTGTAACTATAACATAAATCTTTTGAAATTAGGAAATTTACTGCTCGATTTAATCTAACAGCAAATTACGCAGCAGAACAAACAAAACGAAAACAATTTAATTCAATTTTCTGAGTATCACAGTCTAACTTTTTTTCGTACCGTCGTCAGCGCCGCATAACGAATTATTAAGATTGAAATGGTTAAATCAAATCATCAGCAATCAAATCGTGACCATAAATACAAGTAACGCGGCTTGTCGCTATGTAGTGCCGACTCAGAATAGCATCACCCCAACCCCGATTTAATAATTTCAGATCCTCATATACAGTAGTACCTAAATAATATAGGTACAGACTTACTTAATTCTATATGGTTCAAATTTGAGCTTACCGGGCTCAATTTTCACTTCAAACGTGATAGAGTTATCTAAAAACGGTCCGGTCGAGCAACCTGCGCGCGGCGCGACCGCGGCGGCGGGCGGTGCAGCCGCAGCAACGCGCGGAGCAGCCGCGGCAAGACGCGGTGCGACCGCAGCGGGACGCGGAGCAGCCGCAACGGGTCGCGGAGCTACTGCAACGGGGCGCGGAGCAACCGCAATGGGGCGCGGTGCGGAAGCGACAGGAGGAGTGGGTGTGTTCCAGTGGAATGAGTGGCTTATGCGTTTTCGTTCACTGGAAGTAAGAGAAAACATCAAATCACGCACTTTTGGATAAACACGTACGTATATTGTAGACATAATTGTTCTTACTGTGTAATCCTAATCAGTGCTAACGTTCAAACTTCAATAATTTTGCAGAAGACATCCGACAAACAATCTTACTGGAATTGTAAATTTAATAAGTAAGTGAAGCTCTCTCTGATGCGTCGAAGGCTTTTATGCTTAAATTACAGTTGATGATAGGAAGTGCCGTATGTTTCAATAACCATCTTTTGCAGGTAAAAAGGCCACAAAAATATTAAAATTACCATGTTTCTATCTTTATGCTTACGGATCATTGTCTACGTCGTTACCCCAAAATACGATACCATACCTCAGCACCAAATTGTTACGAAGGTAAATTCAATAATAATTTACTGACTTAAACATAGGCGTGTTTTTGTAAAGGCAAACAAGATTGTCCTTATAGTGTAGTCTTTGCTTCGTTATTTTGCAGAAAAGGCGCGTAGCAAAAAACATAAAATTACCATGTTTCTATCTTCTATGCTTACGGATCATTATCTACGTTGTTACCCCAAAATATCATTCCCTACCTCAGCACCAAATTGTTACGATCGTAAATTCAATAAGAGTCTACGCACTTGGTGAAGACATAGGCGTGTTTATGTAAAGGCAAGTCGAACGCCTAGTTGTTGACTATCTACATGAGTGTAGTCTCTGCTCCGTTTTTTTGCAGAAAAAGCCCGTAGCAAAAAACATAAAATTACCATGTTTTTATCTTCTATGCTTACGAACCATCGTCTACGTTGTTACCCCAAAATATGATTCCATACCTCAGCACCCACTTGGTGAAGACATAGGCGTATTTTTGTCAAGGCAAGTCGAAGGCCTGGTTGTTGACAATCGACATGATTGTTCTTATCGTGTAGTCGGTGCTTATGTATCAAACTCCAAAACTTACCATGTTTCTTTCTTCTATACTTACGGATCATTGTCTACTTCACTGCCCCAAAATATGATACAATACCTCAGCACCAAATTTTTAAGTTACAATGCAAAGATAAATTGATACGATAGAGTCTACTCACTTGGTGAAGACATAGGCGTGTTTTTGCAAAGGCAAGCCGAAGGCCTGGTTGTTGACAACCGACATCATTGTTCTTATCGTGTAGTCGGTACTGACGTGCCACGGGCCTTCCTTCTCAAGCCAGCAGTCTACGGATAACCTGAAAATAAAAAAACTATATAAAATGATGTCTAACTAAAACTAGCGCTGGCACTTTATGTGAAATAGATTTAGAAAGAGGCAGGAAATAGTCATGTCTAAAATGGTCTCATTTTTTGCGTTATTTCGCGTATTTCCTCCTTTGTCTAGTCGAGTCATAAGGCCTTACCACAAAAAAGTTAGGTAAGTGTTGAACGCGTGTTTAAACTATCATAAAAAATGAAAGCTCGTCGAACTTTTTTTGTGGTAAGGCCTATAATTTTTACTTGCCGCTTAAGCTTAAGGCCTATCATCATCATCATTGGCCTCATACGTCTGTGTCAGACGATATATTCAGTGTCTGAGGTAAGATTTTTCATGGCTGTATAAGCCGATACGGGAGCGGCATAGCTTTTTGCAGGCTCTCCGGAGACACTGCACTGCCTGGGACGCAGTTAAGGAAAACGCAGGGCTGCCCAGGACCTGCGCCACCCTCTCGGCCTTCCTGGCTGACTCCACAGGAACGACGGGTCGATACGTGCGGAGCCAGGTCGGCTGCAGGAGTCTGCCGCACGATTTATTACCATTCACTCGCGCCTGACGGAGACCCCGTTCCAGGTTTGTGTGTGGAGTTTTCTTTCTCCAGGACCCTGATCAGCTTGGGTCGGATTTATCCCTCGGTCGCCTCTTACGACCCCCACGGGAAGAGAAGGGGTGGTGCTATTCTACTCTGCCGGCACCACACGGCAAGCTTAAGGCACGTATGCACTTATCAACATTGTTTAGCATAGGCATAGGCACAATTGATTAAGCACTTGCCTGAGATACAGCTGTTTATCGTTACTACTACTCTTTCTCTTCTCCACAACCATCAGCGTGATACTCCACGGTATGTTTTTGGCGCAGAACACCTCCGATGTGTATTTCTTCATTTGAAACACGTTGTTTACCGTGAAACGGATCGTGGCCACTGGGTTTGCGTGGTGCTGTGAAAGAAAATATTGAATGTATTGAAAGTACCTTGACCCCCTTTAAGCTTTGTTGGTTGTTTTGTAACACCGAAGTATATGGGGTGAAATTTTACTAGTGACCGATAGGGAAAACTTAGAACCGGCTGGTGATAAAGAACAACTGAATTTCTCAATGTTTTCACTTTCCGTTTGTGATAATACCTATATTAATATAGCGCTGTGAGTGCATTAACAATTTTAATACATTATTAATAATCATACCTGGTTTCTAGGCACCAAAGATTTGGAGAATCCCTCTGGCATAGGCACAGCGGTATCTTTCGAAGCTATATTCATAGCTATGGCCATAATCTCCTCGTTGGTCAAGAGCGAGTTGAGACCGTCGCAAACTCGAGCGGATTCAGGGTTAAGAAGATAGATATTATACAAACGTATCCCTACCTTGTTAAACTTATTAATCATACCTGATTTCTAGGCACCAAAGACTTGGAAAATCTTTCTGGCATAGGCACAGCGGTATCTTTCGAAGCGATATTCATAGCTATGGCCATAATCTCCTCGTTGGTCAAGAGCGAGTTGAGACCTTTACATTCGGCAAACTCGCGCGGATTGAGGGTTAAGAAGATAGGTATTGAACCTTATTAAACTTGTTAATCATAAATTGAAAATGAGAAAATTGAAAAATTCACTAGTGACCGCCGGGACTTGGACCCAGGACTGTGAATTTTGCGGTCGCTAGTGAATTTTTCAATTTTCTCACTTTCTATTTAAGATAATACCTATAATAATATAGCGCTGTGAGTGCATTAACAATTCTAATACATTATTAATCATACCTGGTTTCTAGGCACCAAAGATTTGGAGAATCCCTCTGGCATAGGCACAGGGGTATCTTTCGAAGCTATATTCATAGCTATTGCCATAATCTCTTCGTTGGTCAAGAGCGAGTTGAGACTTGAGACCGTCGCACTCGGCGAACTCGCGCGGATTCAGGGTTAAGAAGATAGGTATTACAAACGTATCCCTACTTTATTAAATTTATCAATCATACCTGGTTTCTAGGCACCAAAGATTTGGAAAATCCTTCTGGCATAGGCACAGCGGTATCTTTCGAGGCTATATTCATAGCTATGGCCATAATCTCTTCGTTTGTTAAGAGCGAGTTGAGACCGTCGCACTCGGCGAACTCGCGCGGATTCAGGGTTAAGAAACGGATCTGTTGCACGCAGGGCCGCAGCGACTCGCGGACTATTTGGTCTGAAATGAACAAACATACATAGTAAATTGTGATCTTCTCTTTTTACTCACACTACCTAGTTGAAAATATTTCTGATTCTGATATTTATTACTTTGTGAATTTAAAATGAGTAAATTGAAAAATTCACTACCGACCGCCTGGACTTGAACCCGGGACTGTGGATTGCCGTTCCACCGCTCTACCAACTGAGCTACGGGCGCCTAGCGGACCCTGACGAGCATCAAGAGGTTGAAAGATTCACCACGGTCGTGGTGGTAGAGCGGTGGAACGGCAATCCACAGTCCCGGGTTCAAGTCCCGGCGGTCGGTAGTGAATTTTTCAATTTTCTCATTTTCAATTTATGAGAATAATATTGCGCTGTAAGTGCATTAAAAATTCCAATACATTTGTGAATTTGTTCCCATTTTGGTCTGGACATTGCAGCCTGAACCACTGATTGTCTGAAAATCAAGATGGTTCTGTGCTTCAGATGGCACATTAAACCGTCAGTCCCGGTTGCTGTCTAAGAGCACTTATACGGCGGTCGTTACACAACCGTCGCAAAGTAGCTTGCTTGTCGGTATTCCACAGGATACATTTCGGGGAGTGTGCACAGTCTCTCCATGACCTGATATGATACCTCCGTCACCATTCCATCTCTGGTGCACGAGACGCCGGTTGGGATTCCACCCTTATATCGTAGACATCTCGCAAATTCGCACAAAGCGCTTCGCTTCTACATTTTTAATGCGAACAGCTAAAGAGTGGAACTCCCTGCCTACGGATCTGTTTCCGGAACGTTATAACCTGGGCCTTTTCAAGGCGAGAGTGAATAGGCATTTTCTGGGCGAGCATGTTCCATCATCGTCTGCATCGTCACTTAACATCAGGTGAGATTGCGGACAAATGCTTACCCATTTTTTATAAAAAAAAACATGTCAGAGGCCTGCTACTTGCAGAAGGCGGTTGAAAAACTCTTACAACAGGATTCACCAGGTCGTTCGACAATGTGTTTTCCGACTCGAAGAAGATTGGTCCTGCTTCATCCGTGACATTCCGTGATCATTGGGTCGTGATGAGTAGATCTAGTATATAAGGTCCTGTTAAATTCACTGCAAATATTTTAAGGGTATGCGTAAATATGTACAAGAAAAACATCTAAGGCATTTTAAAAATTATTCGACACGCTAGATGTTTTTTTCATTTTCAAACAAACTTTTTAATTAATTACGTGAACATCCTTTGACTGACCCGCCCGACTGACGTTCCGCCACGTAGACAGGATTCATTTACACGGCACGCACACTAACAACAAACCAATCACGGCACTTTTTGGCGCGTAAATTAAATTCGTTTAATGGTGTGTTTCTAGGACAAACAGGGTGCACATTTTTCTTTTGTTTTTTTTTTAGTTCAATGCAATTTTCCCAAAAAATGCGCGGACTTTTAAAAAAAAAACCTATTACCTGCTTATATTTTTTTGATCTGCCCCTAAAATATTTGCAGTGAATTTAATAGAAGTGTATATATATATATATATATATATATATACCTTGGTCCTGCTCTAGCCTGCTGAATGTTGTTTCCTTGGGCACAATCACACTACTCCTAGGTCGTTCCTCTGCCTCACTATCTTCACTGGATGTATCTGTAGATGAGCTGCTGGAAGTAGATTCCGACCTCTCCACCACTGGTTTTGCTTGCGGCTGGAATGGACATTCCTTCATTAACTGAGAGCAATTAGGTAAAGAAATCGGCCAAGTGCGAGCCGGACTCGCTCACGAAGGGCGCCTTACATAAAAAAAGCCTAAAAATCACGTTTGATGTATGGCAGCTCCCTGCTTACATGCTTTGTGAAAATAGGAGCTGTCTAACTATTACCGTACAGAAGATACAGCCTCAGAACCATATTTTTATTAAAATCGTGCAAAAAGAAATCATGTTTTTTGCATGGAAGCCTCCCTTAATTTTTATTTTTAATATTTGTTGTTAAAGCGGGAACAGAAACACGGCATCTTGGAAAATTTCAATTACCTACGGTTTATGAGATACAGCCTGGTGACAGACAGACAGACAGTGAAGTCTCAGTAATAGGGTTCCGTTTTCACCCTTTGGGTACGGGACCCTAAAAAACCAGTCAAGAGCGTGTCAGACACACCCACAAATAGGGTTTCGTAGTCAAGTTTAAATATCAGGTTTTTCAGCATTACAAAGTTCATTTTGTTGCTGGTTTGTTTGCAGCTATATATATAGTTACAAACCTCAAACAGAAAAACTTTTATTTTTCTGAAATCATTAGTGGTACAGTAACCATGATAGTTTTCATGGCAACTTCAGATTGTAAATTAAATTCCATTTTTTTTTTTACTTTTCTTTTTATTTATACTGAAGTTACAGCTGTAACAAATTATGGGTCAAAAATGCCCCTTTTAAAAGCAAATATCTCAATTCAGAAAAAAATTAGTGGCTTTTTTTCAAGGAAACCTCCCCTTAGTTTTAAAAAACCTATTCAACGATACCCTGTTCAATAGAGAAAACAAAAATGTCCCCCCTTTCACTTGTATGGGAGAGGGTCCAAAAAACATTAGATATTTTTTTTCTCAACATTTCTATATTTGGGTCAACACAATCTATTTTCGCACCAAATTTTATGTTGATAGCTATAAAACTGATAAAGATATGAGGGCGCGGCATACAGACAGACAGACAGACTTGACGAAACAATAAGAGTTTCTGGCCGACTACGAAACCCTAAAAACAAGGATCACTGCAGACAGAAGGATGTTTTTCGCAAATTAAGCAAGACTTAAATTAATACAATTAATAAACTTAAGAATTAAAACCACCAAACAAAAATCTGAGTGTTTATTGTTACCTTGGTAGTGCGTTTCTCAAAAAGGTAGTTCAATGTGGTAGCCATGTTTTGAGCCACTGCTGTATTAGTTAATTCATTTTCAGAGTATCTAAGAAGTGCGTCAAACAAATCTAATTCACTGCTGATGTTGAGTTGCTCCAAAGATACTATTTGCTTGACTGTTTCAGTCTTGGCTTTGTAGAAATGGCTGCTCTTTAATACATTCATTGTTTTCTTGCTGAAAAGCTGGAAGGGGAATAGTGTTTTAATAAATTTGTTTTTAATAATAATTCTAGAATCTAGCTGGTCATTTCCATACCCAATTACAAATTAGCTTTAAATAAAAGGCTTTGATTTTAATATCAAAGAATAATAATAACATAAGGATAAAAATTACACCCATAGGTAAATAAAAAAATACAAGTCCCTTTTATATTTTTCTTTTTGTAGTAATGTGACCAGAATATACCACCCGCGCGAATTAACTCTGCACCTGGCGCCGATGACGATTAAGTCATTACGGTGCGCAAAAAAAGTGAAAGTTTTTATTTATTGTTCAGTTTTAATTAATAGTTAGTCACTTTTTTTGCGCACCGTAATGACTTTGACGTCATCGACGCCAGGTGCAGAGTTAATTCGCGCGGGTTGTACTTAGGACTTTACCATCATTATCTTCCTGCCCTTATCCCAATTACTTGAAGTCGGCGCAACACATTTTGTTGAACACAAAATCGTGTTACAAAGGATGTGGCTTAATTTTACGACAGGCCGCCTTCCAGACGTCAACCCTCCTTGGGAATGCTTTTGTGGTGGATTAACCGCTACCTTACGGTTCACTCTCGCTGTTTGGATCGGGTTTATGCCTCAGTCGCCTCTTACGACCCCCACAGGAAGAGAGGGGGTGGTGCTATTCTACTCTGCCGGCACCACACGGCTTGGATACTTAGGACTTTACCTTCAAACACTTTTGTATTAGAACAGTTTCATCATGAAATATTGAAAACTCGTAGATACGGCATACATTGTGTGGACTCAGCTCTCTAAGAAGGAAATCAACACAATCCTCTTGTAGGTACGGTAGTATGTATTTCTTAGCTGCGTAATAGACATCAATCGCTTCTCGGACACTGTAAATTTCTATATAATCTGTGTAAATGTATCTGAAACATAATGAACATAGAAGTTGAAATCAATATTGGAATAGACAGAAGTTGTTATTTGGCAATTTAAATTAAGTTTTAAAAAGTTTGCCTCATATTTATAATCAGGATTTCCAAAGGTGGACTTCATTGGGGACAAAATCACAGGGACATTGTATCAGATACAATGTTAAATGGAGTATTAAGTTAGACTGTTTATATTCTAAATATGTACCTACATACATACTTTATACCTCAATAAGTATACTCTAACCAAGCTTGGTTACTTGGTGGTACATATTTAGAATAAAAGCAAGGAAAATAAATGCATGCAATTTTAGCCCAGGTGCCCTAAGTGCAAAGTTCATTAAGATCTAAACCGTCCGACTGACGAAACTTGAGAGTTTTTAGGTAGATAGGTACTAACTTCAACATGATTTGAAAAGTTTCACAATCAATATCCGTCACGGCTATGGGCTGTTCCTCGGCCAGGCTCCCGTAAAACTGCGCCGCGAACACCGGCGAGGCCATGGCTAAGATCAGTTTATGCCCTCGTATAGACTGAGTAGTGGAGTTTGTAGTCGGCCCGGCTGCGCACTCAAAACGAAAAGTACAATCAGACCATTCCTTGGAGTCGTGTAGGTGCACCGTCCGTTTTTTGACTTTGGAACAAGTTGGCTGCCAATCGCCCAGCCTTTCGTGATCTCGTGGTGCCATTCTGAGGAATTATAGCACTAGTTTTGACCGGAAAATCAAATAAAAACAAAGATCTACACCCACAATACACACAGCTGAGTTTTTTTGACATTTGTTGCGTTTTTTTTTTTAATCGAGTTTGAATAAATCGATTGTCAATCACATCAATCACTTGATGTTTTTTTAGAGAAACCACCAGTGCACGACATACTCACTAGCTCACTGCACAGCACGAGGATTCCCGACAACGTTTTGTTTAAAAGAACAATGTACGACACCAGTCCTTAAATGGATAGTCTTCAAATACGGGTCCGGCCGGACCAAGAATGTACAGGTGCGTGGGTGGAATTAAAATGAAGTGATAGAAGATAAACAAAGCAACCCACGATTGGGGGAGGGAGACAAAGCCCCCACAGTAAAAAAGGACCTTTAACACAAATCCGACACGTGGGTTGCCGTGCATGTCATGTCCGAAAAAAGAATCGATAAGTCGATTAAAGTCAACACTGTCACACCCACCACTTCATCCTCTGTGGCGACATTTGCTTTGATTCCATTTCCTTCCACTTCCACCCCTGTACTATCACTGACGAAATTCCATATAGACATGATAAAGTTATGCACGTTCTTTGATTCCAAA